GGTTATAATAAAAAGAAACCTTAACTAATAATTAAGATACTCTTAATTATAGGTAAAAGTACTAATAAGCTATTATAATAAAAATCTAAAACTTATTAAAGAAGTTAAAGAGCTTAATAAGAAAAAAAATCTAAAAATAGTTTATTTTAAGCTTATTTAATTAATTTAATTAGATAACTTTAAGAAGGTTTTATTATTAAATTAAGATATAGATTAAAAGAAAGATAGGCTAATAACCTATAAGAGACCTTAGTCTAAGAAATAAGCTATAGCCTAAGAAATATAAGACTAGGTAAGGATTAAAGTAGTATCTATAAAGGAACTAAGATACTTATAATTAAGAAGCTAGTAACTATAAAGAGTTAAATTACTTTATAGTAAAATATAAGAAGATAAAAGGCTCTTTTAGTATTAATAAGTATTTCTTTTACCTTAAGCTAATATAATCTTTATATATTAGCTAAAAGTACTATAAGTAAATTATACCTAAATTATCTACTAGTATTAGAGTATTAGGTTATTAACTTATAGATTTATTAGGAATTAGGAAATAAGGTAAGCTAGTAAGTAAAGACTAAGAAAGGACTAAGGTATTTTTTTATAAGGAAACTAAAGATATACTAGGGATTATAAGGTAAGTAAGCTATAAGAGCCTAGCTCTTATAGTAAAATATAAGGTAACTAGTATAAGAATAATATCTTAAGATAAAATACCTTTACCTTAAGAACCTAAAAATACCTCTAAAATACTTATAATTATAATCTTAATAAGGTTTATATTAACCTATAATATTTAAATACTAGGTAAATAGCCTATAATAAGCTAAGATAATAAAGTATATTATATTAAGATAAGATTAATAAGTAAAGATTAAGGTATTATTAACCTAAGTAATATTAGGAAATTATAGATTAAGAAGTTAGTAACTATAAAGATAAAAGATAAAGGTTATTACTTACTCTTAAAATCCTTCTAGTAAAATATAACTAACTAAAAGTTATTAAAACTACTCTAAGAAATACTACCTTTAGTTTAATTATTAAAGTCTTAATAAGAAATATTAACTTTTAATTATAATAATATTTATATTATCTAATAATATAAAAATATAAAAGGTATATAAGAGAAAGTTATTTATTATAATAAGAGATATTATAGCTTTTAGTAGTAACTTAACTAATATAACTAAAGAACCTAGACTTCTTAAGGAAGAAGGAGAAGGTTAGAAGACTAAAAAAAAGTAATATATTTCTAAAAAAGGAAAATAAGCTAGATTAACTATAGTAAGTAAAGGCTAATAGCTAAAGTTAGCTAATAAGGATTTTATTAGCTTAAATTTAGACTTCCTTAAGACTATAAATAAGAAAGATCTTCTTATAATACTAATCTAGGCTAATCTTTAGCTAAAAATAGCCTTTAAAGATAAATTTAATAAGAATAATACTACTAATTTCCTTTAAAGATTAGATAGTTAGCTTAATATTTAAAGTATCTTAAATATATATTAAGTTAAGGAACTACTAAAAGTTATTATATAGTATATTATAAAGGAAATAAAGTATCTTATATATAGTTATAATTAAAAGAAGATAAAGAAGTACCTTATTAACTATTACTTTAAGTATAATATTAAAAAAAGATATAGCCTATAGATTAGGTTATTAAGGTATAATAAAATACCTTTAGTTAATAATTATTATATAGTAAGTAAATAGCTTATTAAA